GAGGCCCACACGAAGAGTGGTTTGAATCACTGCGGTAAGTTCACGAATGTCGCATTCTACGGAGAGGAAAGCAAAACTAAGATGGCTGTCTTCTGGGTTGTTGGGCCGTGTAGTCTGGTAGAGGCCCTTACCGCCTCCATCATCAGGGCGACGAACTGCTTTCACGACACAGTATAACATCAGACAGAAAACCAAAACAGCTTAATGCTAATTATCATCAGGCCGGTGATATGATTTAAACACAACATACGTCACTACTTCAGACAAACATCGAACCAGTAGTTCACGGTCTCCAAGGACGGCGATGCGAGGAAGCAATCAGAAATGCTACCTCCAGAGATTCTGGGACCATAACCCTTCTTGACAAACTGATAATCGCTCAACCAGTCAAGAAACTAATTTATAATTTCTTCAGTACCCGACTAGTTTATTTTGTAGACGCACCATACAAATACCAAAAGTTCTTTAAGTAAGTAAACTCAGGAAGACATCCAAGTTGCTCAAACCTAACCCCTGGGGGGCGGGGGGCAACTAATAACATCCAAGTCGAGTCGAGTTGAGTCGAGGAAAGTAACGAACGAACAAACAAACAAACAGAAGGGACGCAGATATTGCACAGCACACACTTAATTAAATTCCCATTAAGAGTCGGCTACTGGCGACTCGCAGTGTATTCCTCAGCAGGCGGACACGCCGACCTCTGGTGCCGCGACCGGCTTTCGCAAGACAATGGCGCTGTCCACACAGCGTGAAAGCTGGACCTGGCTCCAGTTGTGGGCGATGGGGCGGCAAGACAACGCACGCAGGGACCCCGCTTCGTCTTTGTTACGATGCACGCAACACGGGCCCAAGTACGACGAGCTTCGGCGACACGAACCTCAGACTGTCGAGTCGTCCGCCTAGCACTTTCCAAGTTGAAACACCCGGACGGACGGACGGACGGAGAGACGCCCTAAACCTGGGCGTGAATTAAACGAATGTGCGTTGTATCGGCGGCTACGTCTGTCGGCAATGAGTATGAAGATGGCTGCCTCCTGAGATGTTGCGCCCTGTAGTCTGGCAGATATCAAGTGACGTTTCGGAGGTACTTCGTGCCTCAAACATCCGGGCTCTTTGTACATAAAATATCGATCTTCGATGTTGCAAATCCTTACCGAAACACGAGGCAGAATGTCCGTAGCGCGAGTCTGCTGCTCAGACCTTCACCTGCAGAGACGACGGCGCGCCAATCCAGAATCGATTTTTCTCTCGAATGGTTATCACCCATCG